TGACGTAGTTAAGCACAAACTGAGGAATGTTGGGAATGATTCTCAATACTTTATTTTTTAAGTCTCCAAACATTTTCCGCTTGACCTCACTGCCTTTGCCCATACAAGGAAGGCATGCTTTAAATTGGTTTTGATTTTTTAAGGATATAAAAGACTCATCGTTTCAGGATATACGTTTGAGCTGGACCAATAAACACATACTTTATCTCTGACTTGATTAATGTGGAGTCTGAAGATCGGCATTTTGATTAAGGTAAACACTAAGTGTTTGAAGTGATATCACAAGGATCAATTTGACTTGTCATGCGGATACCTTGAATAGACTGATTAATTTTTTAGTAGAGATAGACGAAACCAGCCTTTTGTGGGATCGGATCAGAGCGGTTCGTTCACTAAAATGAATCGTTCTTTTTTATGACTCATCACTCACTAATAATAGCCTTGGTGAAAAAATCCGCAACAATGGGTAAATGTGGAGCGGTCAGAAAGGATGACGCGGAGAGCGGAAAGAATCCAACCAGCAGTGGGATCGAGACTGCTTAGCGAGGATGAAGGGAACAGCAAAAAGAGTCTAGCAAGAACAATAATCTAAATCGGAAGAATCTACACAATCAAACGCTAACTTTCTGAACTGATTTTTTTTAACTGCAGTTTTGACATTCCCGAAAAAAACGCGCAAAACTTATAACACAATTCTAGATTAAAAAATTTTAAAAAGTTGGGAACTGATAACTCACTTTTAACATGGGAGTATAAACATTCTTATCTTCCCTAAAACGGAAATCGAATATTAGTAATGCGCTTCAATAAGAGCTTCGTTCCTTTTTCGCCAATCAACCGTAAGCTCGGTCAGTGAAGTGAATAAATAGCAGACCTCTATGCCTGGCACGCTTCCAAAAAAAACTCTCCGTGAACTGTAAAAGAGATACAGCTCTGAAGCAAGCATAACCAACTAACCTTAGAGCTACGGAATTTAAATTTTCCTACTTTTTCGGTTACCAGAAATTCGATAAATATACCAAATAAAAGTGGGTGGCTGATGAATAACAAAATTTGTCTGGTATAGTAAATATAAATATATAAGTATGTTATTTATTTAACATAAAATATAAAATTATGTAGCATATATTTTAAAAAATCAAAATAATTTGTGATAAGTTATCAAATTTTTTATTATTAATTAGCATATCCAAATGTGATATATTTATCTTTGGCAGTTGTTTATCACAAAGACACTGAGAAAATTTCTTCACTTAACACATATAATTAAATATTTTGATTCATTAACTCTTTTTAAATCGTAAGCACATAACAAACATCATTTATCTAAACTGCGGTTAGTTGGCTGAAACACAATTAGTAGAGAAACATGCGAATACAAAATTTAACAAAAAAGTAGTAATAGGAAAAAAAGAGGGGACAACGAAACATTTTTGCTGCTAAATTAAGGAGACCAGTGTCTGAATATCCTCGAAACTCTTAAGAGTTTTACTCAAAATTTAAGCTAACCTTAGATTGCTATTTTGATTAATTTTAAACTTTATGCAACTCTTATTTTTCATGAATATCGTCCTAAAAATATTCAGTCTTGGTGCAGTTACTAAACGATAATTATTTTTTTAAAAAATAGAAATTAATTTTTAAGATAAAATGGAAGCTGATACAGAAAACAAATTTTACAAGTCAAAATGTGCAAGAATTTGAATTATAATGTAGATTTTTATATAATTCAGATTATAGCAAAAGAACAGTGATTTTAACACTTTTATTAGCTTAAAATTTAATGCAGATAATATATCAAGCAGATAAAATTTAGTGCACATACATCTAAGTGATAGCAAGGATATCATCAATATGATATCATAAATTCAATGCATTTTTATTTAAGCGTCACTACTGGATTCAAGAGTCATTATTAATGAAGAAATTGTTACATTATATTCCGCAGAGTGAACAAAGAGAATGCACAACAATTTTTAATAAATAAAATATGATTAATAACCTGTTCATACTCCATTTTAGTAAACCAAACGCAAGCTAATGCTGCATCTACCTTTTATGGTATAATCTAAAAAACTGGCAATTTTGTTGACCTTTTTTACATAAGTACTAAAGCTTTAGATGTGGTGGTACAGAACGTAATGTAGATGGAGCACAGTGGCGTTTCGATCATAGCCGATTCAATGTTTCTTGATTCTTGACAAAACATTCTTAAATACAAAATACACAGATCAATTAGCGATAAATATACACCATTTCTTCGCTGGCAACATCCGTACTTTTTATATTTTTTTATAATACACACCAGTGGTAATTAAAACTGCTACACTATGAAAGCAGCCTGCAACAAACGTCAAGTTTTCATAAACGGTATTAGTTGGGATATGAAGACAGAATAGAATTACAGCTCATGAGCACAAAGCAGGCAAGGTAGCAAGTGCAGGTGAGTATGAGTAATATCATCTACAGGAAGACTGCAGCGAGTTTCCCTTAGGAACTCTTCCAGAAAGGCTTTTTTTCGGTACTTACGTATTAATGCCACCGCAGCAGAAGTTGTGCTGATGCGGCAGTATCTTGTTCGGTTGGGTGTAATCTTTTGGATTGCTTTTTGCCTTGTTGTTTGCTGATTTTTGACGCCATTTTTAGTGCTACGAAAATGCGTCTTTGGGATTTGCCAAAGACGAAAGGTTGCCAAACAGAAGAGAATTGAGATAGAAGGATTCCTGCATCCTAAAGTTAATCATAAATACAATTTTATTGATCCTGATACAGGAGTTCATACACAAACAGTTGAGAGAATGTGGGGCAGAGTTAGACATAGAACAGTTGAGAGAGACATAGAAGACAGCGAGACACAATTTAGAATCTTATTTAGCAGAGTTCATACGGCGAAAACATCAGGTCAGAGAAATAGAAACTGTTTTGAGTCTATGATAAACTCTATATCGGCTCATTTTCCAACGAAATCCGATTGACTACTTTGATTTTAAATAAAGTGTTTTGATTTTAAATAAAGTGTTTTAATTTATTATTTGTCGCAAAAATTTTAGATGTAGATTGGTGGCACTTAAAACTCGCCAAATCTGCAGCTGCGATGCAGTTAATACGTAAGTACAATTTATTTTAGGCAGATATCTCTCATGTGCTTTGGCATATCCAAGTAACCCAAGACATGTTGAATAACAAATTTTTTATTTCGTGATATTTGATGTTTATATGATTACTGAAACAGATCTTCCTTCTCCAATATGAAAATTGTTTAAGTCACATGCTTTTAAAAATTTTCTAATTAAAACCAATTTTTAAAAATCTTTATAGTGAAACTGACAATTAATAAGACAAGAAAAGACTTATTAATTAGGGTTTTCTTTGTAAAAACCTGTATAAATGTTTATACTATGCCTATTGAAAATTGACTATTAAATACTGCTACAGTCTAAAACCTTACAATACTTGATTCCCTTTTAAAACTAGGCTCATAAACTATGATTAATCATTCAAGATATTTTTATTCGTGCAATTATTATTATTATTATTATTATTATTTGAATATGAGCTATGTATGTTTTCTTTACGAGTGACGTCATGGTCTGTTGAAACGAGAGAAAAATGTAAAGTAATAAATCTATAAATTACAATTATCAGGTAGCCAGACTGGTCGTATGCACGTCTTTGGTCCTTTCTAATAAAACTTGAGTTGGCCAGACCCTTAATATCTATGGAGGTGATCGTCTTTAAGTGGTAATATTTATCAGCGTAGTTTAACTATATTCGAAGAAATAGTGATCATTTATTTTCAGAAGTGGTCATCTATGGGCAGTGGTCGCCATAAGAAATTTTACTTAAAAAAAAAAATAATAATGTATGTTCATGCAAATTTTAAATTAGTTTTAGATCCAGAATATAAAAGCATACGCATATAAAGTGCACTCTCGATTATCCTAGTGCGAATTATCTTTTAGTTTCACCGATTTCGCTTTAAATTGCCTCATACAATTCATTCTGCATGTGCATAGTCGAACGTATCGTTTCGTTTGATTAGTGAGATTTATTGTGTTTATAGGCATTTGTCGTGGTTGTACGTAAATGTCAATGGAAAAAGGATAAAAAATGGATCGATAGCGATTAGACTGATCCGGGTTTCAGAGTTTAAGTAAATCTGATAACATTTCAAATGTCACAGTAACAGAAGAGGCAGAGAGTGATACTTAAAATTACCTTAACTGACCTTATGTTGAAACTTTACTGAACTTACTCGAACAAATGATATTCAAATATAAGCTAGCACTTAGGAAAATACAGACTGAAATTCGGCAGATATTAAACGTTTTCAAAAACAAAGTAATTTTACTGATTCTTTTAAGAAAAAAACATCTACAATATGCATGGAAAATCATAGTTTGGATTATCCGTGTTTTTTATTTAACCGTGATCTGCTTCCCAGGCATTAGCTCGGGTAATCGAGAGTATACTATATTTGAATTTTTTAGTTTTATATTAGATACATAAAATAACCAAATTTTTAATTTAACAAAAAATAGTTTGTTAATCATGCATTTTGATACGTACTTATACATCAGTGAAGAAGCAAAATCAGTCACAAAGAAATTTTCCAGATAAATATATATTTTTGAGATCGTACATACATTTCTTTATTTTGCTGCATTACAATGAAAATCTAATCACATATACAATGAAATAATCAGAAACTTTAGAACAAATGAGCGCAAAGAACCATACTAAACTAAAACGAAAAACAATATATCTTATACTATCACTATGGGTTTCAAGCTTACAGTAAGGATGGGATTGCATAGTTAATATTTTCACTGAAGAACAATAAAATGTACACTTTAATTCAAATCACATCGAGTAACAGTAAATTTATCTGTTACGGCCATACTTTAAGGCGGTTCCCTTTCGAAAACGCTGTATTGTAAGCATGAATTCAATCTAAACTGAGTAAACGGGAAATTTGTTAGCTATCTAATATGACTTACCTGAGTCCATGACGTTTGAAATTATTCTTGTAACCGGTAATGATTAAATGTAAAATATCTTATTATTTAACAGCGTTGCAGTTATGTTAAGAGACTCACATGAGTTTCGTTTATGACTCACAGCTAAGATAAAAGTAGAGAATTTGTCCCAATGCAAAAAGCATGTTATCACCATGAAGCGAAAGAGGAAGTGAAGCCGTTCGGTAGTTTCAAACTGACTGCATAAGAACTGGCTAGATAATCGCGATTCACTCTAGATATGAGGGGGAAAAATGTAGCTTGCTGTAATACTAACTCTGTGACCTTGACAGACATCGAACTATTATGTCTCTTGTAACCACATACATTAACTTGATCAGTACAGAGCTCATTTTAGAAATTCTGTTATTTAAAATATTTACTGAACTTTAAAACTGCACTGACTTTTTTACATCAGGTATATGTCTGAATATTTAAGCAAAATGTTCGCAAGGGTACAAATACATATTGTGCGAATATATTATTTCATTAATGTACTTTATTTTTCCCTAGTACTGAAGTTCTGAAAACGTAATTACTCAATGATATGATTACTGAGTATCAAATAATTAGTTATAGTTATAATTTAATTATAATTATAATTTGACTTAATTAATTATAGTTAATTAATTATAATTACTTAATTATAATTTGAATAATCTTAGGAATATGACAAATGATAAAATGATATGTCTTAGGATATGTGTTCAAATTTTTGTACTTGAAACAAAATTTCACAAATAAAGTGGTTTATTTTCGTTGATTGCGAATTTTTCATGTTTTTCAAAATACACACATCTAAATTACTATTTAAACGCAGCCCTAATCACTGCTTTCATTATCATTTTGTTATAATTATCAATTGGATGATTAATATAATGTATATTTCTTAAATTTTCCTTTCGTAACACATTCCGAAATATCTTCAAGATGAGCTAGTTTATCTTTAATCGTTAATTAATCAAAAATCGTTAATTAATAATATATCTCCAAGGATTTTTAATAAATCAGCACAATTAATTAAAGATCGTTAATTAATCTGTAATTAATTAACACAAATAATTATTAAGTAAAAGTTAATTAACCGTAGACTACTATCCCTAATATATAAAAATCGTTAATTAATTTATATGGCAGTTAATTTAACGAATAAATGTAATCATATAATTGGCATTAATATCAGAATATCTTATGACTGTGCACAGATGTTCGAAAAATTATTTTTTTTTTAAGCAAAACCTCTTAAACATTTTTTAATTCTAAATCTCTAATAGTTAAAATATTAAAGAAATTCCATGTCGGTACTACAAATAAAGGCGCGGGTAAAGTGGAGTAATTACACGTTAGGTGCTTCTCTAAATCCAAATTCATCCAGAAGTAATTGGGAGAGCTAAAACTAAGAATAATTAAGAACTTACAACTGAGAACATGACTACAAACTCAGAATAATTAAGTTAAACTTGTGAACTTTGTCCTAGAACTAGGATAAAAATAGTTCGTTCATTATTTTTATTAGCAAACATTATCTGAAAAATTATTGTTACCTTCCTAATTATAGAATGGTAGCTTTCCTTATTATTTTCCCTATTCCTTATTATAGCTTTCCTTATTACACAAAAATGATTCTTTTCTAAGCTGCTGAAAAATGGTTTTTAGGCTAAACTATGTAGTCTTTTATTAATTTGAAGAAGTACAGGGTGATTATAATTTAAGTTCCACATAGGAACGGCTGTTAAAAAAAAACACTGCTCAGAATTACCTGAATGTTGTATATGAAGAATATGGGAATTAGCCTGAAGAAAGAAAAATAATACTTCAAAATTATATCAATAGATGGCGATGTACTTATCATAATGAGCTAATTAAAAGAAGTGGCACATGCACTACATATTAGACTTAATAAAAATACGGAGTATATGCTCTGCGTCTCGTCAACTTGTAAGAAAGAGAACTCTTCTTGTTTTTCTCATGCGTGACTGTGCTCATCCGGTATTTATTAACATCTAAACTCCGAACTATCAGCGCCTCCACATCTAAACTCCGAACTATCAGCACCATTACATCTAAACTCGAGAATAATCCTACGGAAGAACGTAGTTAGAACTCTGAATCCGAACTCGATTGACTGTTAGCTGGAGAGCGCGTAATTTTATGTAATCTAATAATTGTATATAACTGTATCTAAATATAATATCTTTATTTATACAGAAGTGTCAGTCTTTATGCAAAAGCTTGGAATTATTTAGATATTTCATCGAATAAGAATTAGAATGGAACAAGCTCGGCTCCCGGGTGAAAGAAAAGGTAAGAGATTTCTTTTTACCTTTTAGAATTCTATTGAGAGATACAACAATATTTTTTGGCATCCCTGCCGGGACGCCCGAGCTAAGAATAAGAATTTAAATTAGACAATAAAGATTAAGAATACAATTATTGATTACTTTTTGAATTTTTGAACTGTTAAGAACATGTCTGAAGAGATTTTAAATAAATTAAAAAAGAAGCGCGCAGCTCTCCGAACATCAGTAACGAAATCGCTTAAAGATTTGGAATCGCAGCTTTCGGAAATTGATCCGAAAATTCATGATTTGGAAGAAAATTTAGAAATATTAAAGAATAATTTCGAATCGCTTAAATGTGTTGATAGAGAATTAGAACCTTTTTTTTAAAGCCGAAGAATTTGACGCTGAATTCCAAAAATCTGAAGACTATCTTCAAAAGGTCGTTAAATGCAATTTCCGTACCTGTAAAAGAGTCGGCGAATTAAAAAGCAAATCTACTAAAACGGTAGTAAATAACCAGTTCGGCAATGATAGTCAAAACGAAACAAAACATAACGAGTCTGTCCGAATTAAATTACCTAAGTTTAACGAAATTCTACGGAGATATAAACAACTGGCTAACCTTTTGGAACAGTTTCGAGTCTGCCATTCATAAAAATGATTCATTAGATAAAATAGACAAATTTAATTATTTGAAAGCTCATTTAGGTGGTTCTGCTTTAAATACAGTCGAAGGATTACCGATTACTGCTGCTAATTACGATTCCGCAATTGATCTTCTAAAAGAAAGATTTGCGAAAACAGATGTGCTCATTTACACTCACATAAATAACATTTTGAACACTAAACCGTTGAAAATCTCGAATGATGTTCGCGCCTTTAGAAAATTTTATGATAATATTTCTATCGAATTAAGATGTTTAGAAAATTTGGGTCAGTCTCTCGAGAATTTATCAAGTGTGTTATGTCCAATAATTCTGAAATCACTTCCCCAAGATATTTTGCTTGAGATTAACAGAATGAGTAATGGAAGTGCGTATTGTAATATTAAAAGCCTGTGCTTGATTATAGCTCAATGTTTAGATTCACGCGAAAGGGCGGAAGTCATAAATAAGAATTCAGAGCATTCGACAGCGAATAGTGGGCGCCGTCAGTCTGCGTATGCAGTCCAGAAAATAAACACTCGTCATTTCAGCGATGGAAAGAGCAATAAATTAGAAACGAAAGCTTCTGCTTCTAATTTAGTGTCCAAGGGTATTAAAGAAAAATTGATTAAGGCATGCGTTTTCTTGCGGAGATTTTTCCCATTCAAGCCATAAATGTCCTATTGCCCAGAAACAAACGAATGACGAAAAGGTTGAAATACTACGCAAAAATGGCACTTGTTTTAGGTGTTTACAAAATAACGGTCACATCAGCAAATTCTGTGATTCTAACATTTTTTTGCTCCCATTGTCACTCTAAGCATTCTACGATTATGTGAAACAGAATTAATTCCGAGAGTAGGAAGGGAACGATCAAAACTGTCCAGGAAGTTGAAAATAAAGTACTTTCGAATCAAAGCGACCGTTCTGAAGTTTATTTACAAACTTTGGTCGTAGGGGTAGCTGGGAAAACCTTAAAGGGTTATTTAAGATTGCTAATAGACACCGGAAGTCAGAACACGTACATAAGTCAATATGCTGCTAAAACGTTGAAATTAGAAAAGATAGGAACTGAAAGAATTAAACATGGGTTATTTGGGGGTGTAGAAGTTTCGGAAGATCATAATCGTTATCAAATAGATTTAACTAGTTTAGATGGAAAGTACAGGTGTAAAATCGAAGCACTAGACCAGAGGAAAATTTGTTCGTCACTACCTAAGATCAAAGACGAAAAGTTAATTAAAGTAATGGAAAAAAGGGGAATCCTTATCAACGACAATCATGCGAATGGAAATCTCTGTCTGTTTCAAGAAAATCCGGAAGAGATTCATATGCTGTTAGGAGCGGACACCGCAGCACAATTGTTCACTGAAAGAATTGAACATTTTGCGGGGGATTACGTAGCCTTTGAGACCAAGTTAGGCTGGACTTTAATGGGCAAGATTAAAGAGAATGCGAATACGTCGAGTTCCCTGTCCGTTCTTTCTTTATCCTTACATGTTTCCGATACAAATTTGTCCAATCTTTGGCGTTTAGACACCTTGGGGATTTCAAGTGAGGAAAACAAAACGAAAAGTGTCTTGGAAGAAGAAACCCGAAAACATTTCTTAAAAAGTGTAAAACGAGATAGCTCAGGGAGATATGAAGTAACCTTACCCTTTATTTTAGATAAATCCGTCTTATCCAGTAACCGTACTGTGGCAGAAAGACACCTCGTCAAAACCGAAAGTAAACTAATTAACACACGCAGAAGAAAAGATTACGAAGAAATATTTGATGAGTGGGAAGCGAAGGACATTATTGAGGTAGTAACTGAGGAAAAGGAGGAAGGAGTGCACTACTTGTCACACAGACCTGTAATAAAAGAGTCTAGTGAAACTACAAAGATACGGCCTGTTTTCAATGCATCTGCACGTTCTAAGAATTCACCCTCTCTCAATGATTGTTTGAGTAAAGGACCAAATTTAATAGAAATTATTCCACGTATATTGAATCGTTTTCGAAAATATCGCATAGGAGTGTCATCTGATATCGAAAAGGCCTTTTGTCAAATCAAAATAGCAGAAAAGGATAGAGATTTTTTAAGGTTTCTATGGTTCGATAATCAACATAAGTTTAAAATTTACAGACATAACCGAGTTGTTTTTGGACTCACATCAAGTCCGTTTCTGCTAGCCGCTACACTTAGTCACCTTTTGACTACAGTCCCAGAAAAGTTTGTAGAAACTTCTAATATTTTGAAGGATTCATTTTACCTCGATAATTCGTTAATTAGCTTAAATCACGTAGATGAAGCCGAAAATTTCGTTCAAGAAGCAAGATTGATTTTGGCTTCAGGGCATTTCAATTTGAGATGTTGGCGATCAAATTTTCGCATTGACATGATCGATGAGATAGAGAGCAAGACGAAAGTTGTCCCAGTATTAGGATTAGTATGGGATTTAGAAAAAGATAGTTTGAGTTGCAAGATCGAAGAAACATTTAACTTGAGGGAACCTATTACCAAAAGAAAAGTTTTGTCAATTACCCAGAAAATTTTTGATCCCATTGGCTTTACTGCACCGATAACTGTAATTCCTAAGCTAATTTTGCAAGAAACATGGAACCAGAAGATTAAGTGGGATGAAGATCTTCCTCTTCCCCTAAGTGAGCAGTTTGGGACTTGGTTGAACCAATTGCCTCTGCTATCTCAGATTGAAATTCCTCGTTGGTTAAATATTGATTACGAAAACGAAGATACCGTAGTGCTCCACGTTTTTTCGGATGCTAGTAAAAGAGCCTATGCCACATGTGCATTTTTAAGAGCTGAAACCATCGAAGGTGTAAAGGTTCAGTTAGTAAGCGCGAGAAGTCGAATAGCCCCTATTAAGGAACTTACGATTCCACGGCTTGAACTTCTTTCCTGTCTGATAGGTGCCAGGCTTGCCAAAACAATTCTATCAGATTTGAAACTTAAGAATTGTAGAACAGTGTTCTGGAGTGATTCTTCTACAGCTTTGGGGTGGATAAGAAGGGATCAAGCATGGGGTACGTTTGTTCACAATCGAGTACAAGAAATAAGATCGCTTACCAGAATATCTGACTGGAGGCATGTACCTGGAAGTTTAAACCCAGCGGATCTCCCATCGAGAGGATGTACTATTGAGCAATTACAGAAATCGGCATGGTGGGAGGGCCCATCGTGGCTTTACTTACCAGAAGACGAGTGGCCCCATGTAGAAGAAAAGCCTGATGAAGAACTTATAAACAAGGAAAAAAGGAAAACGATTCTGACTCTTCTAGATCATGGAGACAATTTGGACCGGTACTACAAATACTTCTCTTCATATAGAAAAACCGTGAGAATGATCGCTTGGATTTTCAGGTTTTATCACAATTTAAAGAACAAAGATAAAAACCTCACTCCTGATGTCTCAGTTGATGAATTGGAGAATGCTGAAAAGGCACTTTGTAGATTGGTACAGAAAGAATCATTTACAGGCATAAACGATCCCGCTATTCGTGCGCTGAGACCAATCGTAGACCAAAATGGAATTTTAAGAGCCAAAACGAACGTCCTACAGCGTCAAGATAATGAAAATTTCCGATATCCTATCATTTTACCTTCAAAACATATTCTTGTTGAGAGACTAATTTACGAGAAACATCTAGAACTCCAGCATGCTGGTGTCAGCACTTTAATGACAAATCTTAGAGAAAACTTTTGGATATTAAAATCCAGAAAAAGTATTCGAAATATTATCAGAAAATGTGTAAGATGTAAAAGATTTGTTTCACAAAGAGTGGAAGTCGAGCCAGGATTTCCACCCGAAGACCGAGTCAGAGAAGGGGAGGTTGGTGGGAGAGGCTTGTGCGAATGGTGAAAGAAAATTTAAGAAGAGTGTTAGGTCGAACGTCCTTAAATTATGAAGAATTATACGAACTATATTTATGTGACTGTGAACAAGTGATTAATTCGCGACCTATCACATATGTATCAGAGGATAATCAAGATCCATCACCACTGACCCCTATGATGTTTCCTGCAAGAATTGCCGTCATCAGGAGTTCCTGATATGGACTACGTAGATTCCAAAGAACTAAAACCGTCGAGCCAAATACCGACAGAGAATAAGACATGATCTACGAAACAGATTTCGTAATGAATATCTTGGTCAGTTGAGACAACAGGCAATAAAGAAGGGAAAATTTCAACAGTTGCAAGTAGGCGATGTCGTTCTATTGGAAGACAGCCAGAGACGACGCATACATTGGCCTTTAGCCAAGATAGTCGAGCTTTTCCCCAGTAAAGACGGAATAGTTAGACTAGCGAGGGTCAAGACAAGAAATGGAATTCTGCTTCGTCCAGTGCCCCGGCTTTTCCCGTTGGAGATCTCTACTTCCGAATCCGTTGGCCCTCCGTTCCCCGACAGAGCACCTCGAGATAGAAACGACCATGCAACTGGTCAGGCTGATCAGGCTGCTAGTATTCCAGAACCTGCCTCAAGTCCTCGAGTGATGACCAGAGCTGGACGAGTTGTTCGGCCTCCTCATCGACTGGACCTGTGTGTATTGAGTTCCTCCGCATCGTCGGATCTCAATGGTGGGAGGTGATGTTACATCTAAACTCCGAACTATCAGCGCCTCCACATCTAAACTCCGAACTATCAGCACCATTACATCTAAACTCGAGAATAATCCTACGGAAGAACGTAGTTAGAACTCTGAACCCGAACTCGAATGACTGTTAGCTGGAGAGCGCGTAATTTCATGTAATCCTAATAATTGTATATAAAATGTATCTAAATATAATATCTTTATTTATATAGAAGTGTCAGTTTTTATGCAAAAGCTTGGAATTATTTAGATATTTCATCAAATAAGAATTAGAATGGAACAAGCTCGGCTCCCGGGTGAAAGAAAAGGTAAGAGATTTCTTTTTACCTTTTAGAATTCTATTGAGAGATACAACAGGTATAATATGCGGCTCTTGTCTAATGTCTGTAATTTTATCTGTAGTGCTCTCAAGTACCCTGAAGACGTTCCGGATATTTATGGGTATAATATGTGGCTCTTGTCTAATGTCTGTAATTTGATCTGTAGTGCTCTGCAATTTTGAGTATTGACAGAGCCATCGTAGTAGTGTAGGGCAAAGGTGTTTCGTATTGGCAGGTCAGCAGGAAGCAATTCCTGAACGTGCGTAATTTTGATTGAACAGTACTGTAGAATATTTCGTAAAATTTTATGAACCATCCTAATAGGTATATTTAAAGATATATAGTGCTATAGACACGTCTTCCAATGAAGACGAATTAATTGCCTCCACTTCTCAAGTCAAATGAATCCGTCTCTTTGAATTTATGAATCACCTTCCACAGACCCTTGACAGGAATCGAACTAGAGCCGCATTATGTATCCATTAATGTCAGGAACTTCTTCAAGGCAGCCGAAGGACAGTCACTGCTCGTTAAAAATAGGTTTTATGTGCAGAGACCAATCTTTAATTGTCACAGTCATGAAGAGCTTCTCAGACGCAGAATGGTGGGAACTGCATACACTCTATGTTTTTAATTAAATCTACCAATATATTTCAATGCGAATGTACACCGAAGTACCACTATATTAACATTTGTTTGAAACAATGGACTCAAAAAGTGCAGTGAATTCAAGCTCAGTGAACAAAAGCGTTTTGGAATTCATTCCAATGTCTAGATTCATAAAACTTCCAATGGAAGCAAAGGAATCTCTAACAGAAGTATAAAGTGAAAAACCTCTGAGAATTTTTCTTGGGTGAAACTCTAAATTTACAATAAAATTAAAACAGTTACGTTGTGTAACTCTGATTCAAAATCCGGTTACGACCACGTGCAGTGCTGATAACGACCACGTGTTTCTGAGACTCCTTTGCCAATGCTTTATTTTTCTTCTTTTTTCCCCTTTCTAGTAATTTCGTTCTCCTGATGAGGAGGGACCTTTAGCTGCCCTCGAAATCGATTGAGTGTTTTAATATATGTACGCTAAATACAAGGTTGTTATTGCAATTTTGATTGTCACATTGGCGTGTTTCTCTTCTATTCTAGTTACGTTGTACGAGGCCACGTCAAGAGTGATAGGGATAGTATTGATACTATCAGATTTGTCAAAAGCTGTGCGATCGCGATAAATATTGTTACCAATTCCGTACATATGTAAATAATTTTAGTGAAATTATATATATAATTGTAGTACCTCTTGTATTATGAAAAATACCTCTTACATGAAAGGCTTCAAGAGAGTGAAGCTTCGCTAAAAAAATAAGGTTACAAAGGCAAGTCATTTAACACTTAAATAGATGGCTAAGCACCAAGCTGGCGATGGCTCTAGCGAAAATTTTTGTAGCCAGATTTGGCAAGAAATATTAAAAGTCACCAAACTTGGCGACCATTTGAACACATCTCTGTTCCATCCCTGTATGTTACTGTAATTGTATCCGGCACTATGTATAACTGTAACTGTATATATATATATATATATATACCATCCAGTGATTTACTTTTTTTTGTGTGTGTGTGTGCGTTTGTGGTCTTGTATTGTGTATGGTTCTATGTTCTTTGTCTGCTGCTGTTTTTTGAAAAATGTATGAAAATGTTGGGAACTAAAATAGCATAAGTTACTTTAGTTAAATTAATATATACTTTTGTCTGATGTTATGGGGCTTATGCTGTTGTGTCTCAGGATGCAAGCATACATAATACTTTGTATTCCATGCTAAATACCTTGATACGAAGCATTTTAACACTGTCACCTTTTTTCTTTTTTTTTCTCCCAGTATCACATCTATTCAGCATTACCAAACAGACTCACTACACACACACACTTGTGAGACACTGTGTATTGTAAATGAAGACAGCTTCTTCTCCTTTTAACTACACTCATGGACACAATCGTATTTTAGGATATTTTATACATCTTTTCCTTCTATAGGCCCTTTCCCCCCCCCCTCTGTTATTTTTTGGGCTATTTATTTAAAATTTTATTTTGTCCCATCTTTTCTTCCTGGCCTTTCGAACTCGTACAAAATGTACGAAGTTCCTTTTTACTCTCCTCTGAAATACGAAATTGCCCCCCTTTCTATATACCTTTTCTTCGCACTTAAGCTTGATTTTTCGCCCATCGGTGCAGAAAGACTTACCGGTGCAAAACAAGACATCTGTATATTTTGTCTGTTTGTCTGTTAATTTCGAGAAGGTACTGGAAATTTTTCGTTCGCCGGGGAAAAACTATTACACGACCTGAGATACCCGAGACCTGAGAAAGCAATGCTTCTCAGTTTCTTTAGTTCAGAGTTTTGAGAGATCTCCGTGCGAGCTTTGCTCTTTAGATGAATTTTGGTTTGCATTGCGTTTAACATTCTCAGTAGTTTGAAGTGGTAACTATTGATGGCGTTCTGTTATACTGAGAAGAGCTGTACGAGTAGTTTTGTAAAACGTTCCAGAACTAAAAAGTGTTTCTTTTGGGAAATTATAGCAAATGGGGAAAAAGATTTAGTACTCTTCCTGTTTAGCTCACTATTGTGTTGTCTGAGGGGGGGAGTCTTTTCTATGTATTACAGAATTCAAAATATTCGGAATAAATGTTACCACAGTCTTTTTGGGTATTAAACATAACCTTGGTTCGGTATTGCCTTAAGCTTCAAATTATTTCTTGCATCCGCACACTTCGCTTACATCTTGTATCTGTCTTTTAAAAAAGTGAAGAAGCCAGATTCACGCAGTCTTCTTATTGCAAAACATTATGGAATACGATGCAACGGAAATTTTTCACGGTAACAATTTTTGAATTTCGCGTCTGTCTCCATTTGGTTCATTATGCATTAGAATCATATCTGCCAAATCCTTGTATGTGGAATCCGATTAAGTGGCGGCAAGTTCTCATCCTTGATTAGCACCTAAACATTCACACGTAAATCGGCACTGGGAAGTTTCCATTTGTTGCACACTTGCAACTGAGTTAAGTAGTCTTTTGACCACGATTTCCGAAACGATTGGGAAATCTGTATGACTAATTTCCACCGTTCACGGATAGGAATTTTCTCATTTGTTACATCAGGTTCTGGAACACTTTTTAACTCGGGACCGATAATAAAGTGGCCCGGTGTAATGACAGAAAAATCATTTGGGTTCTCAGAAACAGCCACTAAAGGACGAGAGTTAAGTATGGCTTTAATCTCCACTAGACGCGTTGAAAATTCTTCTTGTGAGAGGATCTGCGATCCTTAAACAGGTCTCATGCAAAACTTCATGGATTTAACGGCAGCCTTCCATAGGCCTCCAAAATGAGGGGCTGATGGAACATTCATTGTCCATATAACGCCTTCGTTGGTCAAGTAAGTACCAAGTGCCTCCATCTTACACGCTGTTAAGTAATTCTTTACACCGATAAAGTTCGTTCCACAATCACTGAATATTTCAGGTGGCTTTAATCGTCGTCCTATGAATCGTTTCAGAGCTGCAATACATGCCTGAGCACTAAGGTCACTAACAAGTTCTAAATGGACGGCTTTCGTTGCAAAGCATACAAAGAATGGAATACCTTGGAAATGTACGTGTGTGTGTTTCGTTGCAAACACACACACGTACATTTCCAAGGGTTTAACTCCTCTACTACGTCTAGGGCTGATCAAGAATGGTCCTGAAAAGTCAGTTCCGCATTTAAGAAATGGTCTTCCGGGATTCACTCTCGAAGAAGGTAAATCAGCCATCATTTGTTTCGAAAACTCAAAGCAATATCTGGCACAGATAACACACTTTCTTATTTCTCTGCGTATTGCAGTGTTTCCTCCTATAATCCAATACTTTTGTTTCATCGCAGAGTCAACTAATTGTACTCCTCCGTGCATATAATTAAGGTGATAAAATGTCTCTAAACATTTTGTAACAGGATGATTCTTAGGCAATATTATTTGATGTTTCACAGAGGCCGGTAAGCTGGCATTTCTTAAACGTCCTCCTACACGTATTATGCCACTGTTGTCTAAGAACGGATTTAGAAAAATTAAAGAACTTTTCTTTAAAACTCTCTCTAAAGTAGCTATTTCCTTTGTATACTCAGTTCTTTGGAATAGTTTGATTATAATAGAAAGGAGTCAAAATCCTATTCCCCCTCATATTTCTTATAAACCTTAAACACCAAGCAACAACTCTCTGCAACTTACTCCAAACTGAAAATTTGTTCCAAAGCTGCTCAACTAATTCCAACTGAACTACAAAACATTTGACAGAATTTTTTCTTTGCTTTTAGTATTCCCGCACTGTCTACATTTGGTAACCCTCTAACCCACTGTTTAGTCCAACGCTCAAAACGTTTTCGAAGCCAAATTGTGCCTGACCAGCATTTTTCATTAAGTACTTACTAACTTCTCAGCCGAGATTCCTCTAGTAAGCAAATCTGCGGGATTATCGTCAGACGGACAATAAAACCAATCACTTGGACTCGATCTTTCCTGAATTTTCATAACGCGGTTGGCAACGAACTGTTTTCATCTCTTCGCACTTCTCTTAACCCAATGCAACGGAATACAAGAATTACTCCAAAACATTATTCTTCCAATTTTATCCTTGAAAACATTCTTCAAATAATTTCCCACTCTAGCACCTATTACCATGGTCATTATCTCCAACCGTGGCAGCGTTAGTTTCTTTAACGGTGACACTCTAATATTCGACATTATAAAAGATACTCTGTAATTCCCATTATTCTCAGAATATCTAAAATAAACAACAATTCCGTAAGCACTTGGTGAAATTTCTCATTCTCACAATCCAGAAAACAATATCTCGGGATAGTAACGTCTATTAATTTTTCAATTTTGTTACACCACGTTATCCACTTTTGCTGCAAGTCCTCCGGCAACTCTTCGTTCCAATCACACGCTCTTTCCCAAATTTTCTGTAACAATAACTTTATGTGTATCACAAACGGCGCAATCAAACCAATAGGATCAAAGATTCTTTCAGCTGTCTGCAAAACACATCTTTTAGTGCGCCGCAACGTTTTCCACGAATCCACCAAACCCTTCACTTCCAGCGACAACTCATCTCTATCAGGATTCTAATTCAACCCTAGGACTTTCAGCTGTTGAACTCCCACTATCTCACTGTCAATAAGTCCATTTTCTATCCACAATTTTTCTAATTCTCTACTGTTCGACTTCAGTTTCCTCAAATTAAATCCACCACTCTTTAATATTGATACAGCATCCGACGACAACTCAAATGATTTTCTCGCACTATCTCCACCATAATATAAATCGTCTACGTAAAGTGATGAATTTAACATTTCAAATGACTTCGGTTTACTTTTCTCATATTTTTGTATATGATGCTTTATCGTAGCACTCAAAGTGTAAGGTGAACTTTTACATCCAAAGGGTAGTCTTTTCATTCTCGAAATTTTATATTCCTCAGTAGGGTTATCTGAATACCAAAGAAATTTTAAGAATTTTCTATCTCTTTCAGAAATTTTTATCATTAAGAAAGCCTTCTCTATATCACCATTAAACGCTATTTTATAATGACGAAATTTTAGAATCACATCAAGAATATTTGGATTTAAATTTGGGCCAATTTCTAAACAATCGTTTAGAGAAAGATTACCTTTAGATTTTGAACTACAGTTAAAGACTATACGAACTTTGGTTTTTTCTTTATGTTCCCTAACAACTTCTCTATGAGGCATAAAATACTCATGCTTATCTCTCTTACATTCCTCAATAACTCCATTTTGTTTTTAATCATTTATTATATCCCTATACTCATTAGCAACCCAATCATTTTTAGAAAAATTCTTTCCTAACTCATCAAACCCCTTTTTAGTTAAAAAATAATGATTTTCTAATTCTTCGTAACTAAACTTATAATAAATCAGTTTATTATAAGTTTAAAATACTTATAATAAATATTATAATAAATCAGTTTCATATCTCTCATTCACGAATTTAAAATTTTTCTCAAATTCATCTATCAGCGCTTTATCAACTACATTTCAATTCGTCTTCTTTTTCTTTAATTCCTAAAGCATCAAGCTCCCACAATATCTGAACATCTGAAGCGGCTACACAAAAATTCGCTGAAACTGCAGTCTTAACATTTGGCTTGTAAACATCTTGACTTCCCTGTAAAGCAAACCCGAAAATCGTTGGCACGCAAGTAATTTCCTGGTTTATTTTTTCGAAAGCTGAGGCTTCAATAATCTGCCAAAACACATCTGCCCCAATTAATATCTCAATGTTTATATCACTGTCACAGCAGTCGGCTAAGACTAATCCCCGGGACTGCATAATATTTTGTACTTCTTCATTTAGAATAGAAACAGATGCCGCTGTAATAGTATCGGACACTAGCACTTCAATTTGAATACACTGATTAAGGATTGACTACTAGATAATTTTAATTCTACTGTGGGAAATGTTATGTCATGATATTCCCTAATCCCCTACTGTGTGACGTATGCATTGCGTCAGCATGTGTTTCCCGCCTTCGGGAGAAGACGAGGATTAGCTGGCGAGCGGAGCAGACGTCGCTCGATCGCTCGTATACCATTTTCATTAATTGTGATCCTAATGTAATCTATATTTGTAAATAGTAATAAATGTGTGTTATCAACTATGGTCGTTGCCTTTCCCCACATTTTGGGGGCTCGACCGTGCCTTTTGTGCATGCGTTATAATCGAACCCTAGACACCAGCAATCACTAAAGACGTTCAGAAAGCTAACAAAGGCAAGACGTGCCTTTATGACGATTTAATATTCTTCTTCAAGCCAGACGACGTATGTGAATGAAGACGTGCCTTTATGACGATTTAATATTCTTCTTCAAGCCAGACGACGTATGTGAATGAAGACGTGCCTTTATGACGATTTAATATTCTTCAAGCTGGACGACATATGTGAATGATGTTACATGCTACTTGTCCATTCTTCTGATTTTGGACGTTAAATCGAAATTCGATTTTGGATTACATTGGATTGGCCAAGATATATATTGGATTATAAGGACTGCCCCGAAGTTAGGTAGGCCCATTTTCCCCTGATTCGTTCATAATTTATTAGTATTACGATTTTAAGCTGTGTTTATACTGTTTAATTCTCATTCATACATACCCTATTTCATATTCATATTGTCCTATTTTACTGTTTAAAGAACTATGGCCCTAAAATTAGGTGATATCCCATTGATAGCGAATTCTCTTAAATATGGCACAACACGAGTTATTAAATTATTTAATACCGTGCTCGGATATTCCGATTTTGATCATTCTTCGCGAAAGAGAATGCGAAATTTTGCCGCGTTCCCGTACAGTTTCGATTTGGCAAAACATAAAGAACTTCTATTAAAAGATTTTTCTTTATCAGATTTTATATCAGTGGCGAATTTATTGCATTTGGAAGCTTCCACTAATAAAGATGTTTTATGTGAAAAAATTTTTCATGCGCTCACTAATCTGACGGATTTTCACAATTCCCTAGATGTTAGTTTTTTATCCGATGACGATCATTCAATTTCAAACACCGACAGTGGACCGACGCCTGTAGGTCTAAGTTCTTCTGTTCCCCCTTCCCCTCCCTCCACGGCGCCAAGCCCAAATCGCGTTGTTTCTTCTGACGCGGAAGTAATAAATTTGAATTCGAGTCGCTCCGGTGTTTATATGACGGCGAACACCGAGATTCGCGAGATGAGTCATGATTTATGGTTTATTTTGAGAGATCTTTCAAACACTTGCAGAAACTTTTCAGGCAATGATTCCTATTCAGTCCGTGCTTTTTTCAACGATATAGAGGATAATTTCCAATTATTCCCAAATCTTACCGACCAGCAAAAATTAGTTTTTGCGAAACGACTTGTTGTGGGTACTGCTAAAACTTTTTTGTTTTCACAACGGAATCTCAATTCATACGACATGTTTAAAACAGTATTACTTAATGAGTTCTCCGATAAAATTACGTCTATTGAAATTCATAAACAACTCGAAAGAAGAAAAATGCGCTCGAATGAAAGCTCTTTGCAATATTTTATCGCAATGCGCGAAATTGCGAATCGTGGTGACGGTGTTATCGACGAGAGGCTTCTGTCATTCAGTATACCATTCAAGGAATACTAGGTACCCCATCCGATAAAATTATTCTCTACGGTGCAAAATCATATTCTGAATTCAAGGAAAAGCTACGCACTTATGAATCTGTAGTTACGACTAGACATACAAATATCTCTCATCCATCAAATTTTAAAAATACGAATAATGGCCCCAGACGTGGTACTGGACGAAAAAATTCAGACCAACAACACGACACGAAATTTAATAATACTGGTCCATCTAAAACTAAACCACAAACTTGTTTTAACTGCAATGAGGTCGGACACCTCTCACGGTCCTGTCCTAATCGTTCTCTTGGCCCAAAGTGTCTAACTTGTTGTCGTTTTGGACATAAATCTATGGATTGCCGCCCCACTACATCAAATGAGACTTCCACTCCACCTGCCGAAGTAAATACAGTACAAACCTCTCACGGTAATATGTGTAAAACTGTCGTTATACTCAATAGCACAGTTTCTGGATTAATTGACACTGAAAGTGAGGTCACATTACTGAACGAAAACACATGAACACATGGATTCAACTTGGTTCCCCACCACTTTCAAATAATTCTGGAGTGTTAACTGGTTTCAGATTCTCGAAAATTCCTATTATTGGCTATTTTCAAA